CAGTCGACTCTGAGGATCCCCGTGCAGGAGCCTAATGAAATATCCTAATGAAAATTCTAAGAAATGGTAATGAAAGTGCCAAGGAGCCTAATGAAATATCCCAATGAAAATTCTATGAAATGGTAATGAAAACGTGAAGCAGCCTAATGAAATATCCTAATGAAAATTCTAAGAAATGATAATGAAAAAGCACAGGAGCCTAATGAAATATCCTAATGAGATTTCTAAGAAATGATAATGAAAAAGCACAGGAGCCTAATGAAATATCCTAATGAGATTTCTAAGAAATGATAATGAAAAAGCGCAGGAGCCTAATGAAATATCCTAATGAAAATTCTAAGAAATGGTAATGAAAGTGCCAAGGAGCCTAATGAAATATCCTAATGAAAATTCTATGAAATGGTAATGAAAAAGCGAAGCAGTCTAATGAAATATCCTAATGAAAAGTCTCAGAAATGATAATGAAAGGGCCAAAGAGCCTAATGAAATATCCCCATGATATCTCATTATCCTTGCCTATCACTTATGAAATATTCCAGTGACAAATTGAATGAAATAGATGGGCAATCCTAATGAGATGCCTTTCATAAAACCTGTGGCATTATACACAATGGCTCTTGGACAGTTGTCATAGATTAATCATAAATAGTGGTAGCCACTAGTGATATCAGTGCGGTGTCACAATGTCATTAGGTGCACGAATTCTCACCCTGATGCGATTAACCCCTTTGATGATCCGAAAGCGGTCTGTACGCCCAAATGTGAGGTGTTGGACCTGGGCACACTAAGTTAAAATGACAGCAGATCCCACCAATAAGCCATCATACTTTTGACTTAGCCGCGCTGAAGACGACCGCGTTTGCATGCTATGGAAACCATCCGGAAGGCTGGACCCGTTGGCGCTAAGTACAGACAAACAACGAAGATTAATGACGTACCATTTTGAGCCGAATGACTGAGTTTTTCCGTTATCGGAGATTACTGAAAGCTGAGGGATATCAACTCCCAGGTCCCCCAGGTCGTTAAATCTATGTGGAGCGAAATCGTAGAAATAGATCCATCTGTAATGGGTAGCACATACCCCAAGGTATGGCCCACCTTTGACGAAGATGCACAATCCGTTGTTGATTTCTTCTTGTGCGTTGTTGAGATCGGCCTGAAGACAAGATTAGAACAGTTGAGTTGCGGTCGTTGGGAATCACCTGGAGCCTGAGTGTGCAGAAATTGACAGGTTGTTGGAAATGGACTGAGGCGGTAGATCAGCTACCCCGGTCACTCTTACTTCTGGGTTGCTGCAGACTTGGGGGTCAACAAGAGGGTCACCCCTAAAAGAAAAGACTCGACGAAGCGTCTCAGGAAAAAGAGCAAAACTTACTTGACAAGAGGGGTCGCAGCGTTAGAGCTTGTCTTGCTTTGATTCGCATGCTCAGTCTGGCTGTGACTCGTTAGCTTCGTCGCCCCCGCTAAATATAGAAGTTATGAGTTACATGCCAGCAACCGGACGAGTTTCCCAACTAGGAGCATGTGTCTCAACAGCGACAGTCCTGGTAGACCATTACGTTAGATTCCTATCACAAAGGTCGCCACTTACTGATGTGCGATAATTTCAGACGTCGGAAAGGCAGATTTCCGTTTAAAACTTTGAGGAACGATAGGCATGACGGCAATAGTTTGATGGCCAGGGAGAGGAAAAGGAATCGTTAGTTTGAACTTATTTCCGCCTGGGATGAAGGGTTCATGATCTGACGTTGACGCAGCCATCGAATGACAAAGGGAAAATGAACGAGTTAAGGCAAAGTTAAGGAGCGGGCCCGGAAGAATTGCGGGAGAAGAGAGATGAAGACCAGTGAGGGAGAAGAGGACAATCAATGCCACTTCTGAGCGTACTTGTGAAAGCGCGAAGGGTATAGTTATATAGATTCTTTCCCTAGCCCATTCTATTACCAGTGGCGCTTTGTTTCTGGTGGCATGAACCACTTCGACACCCGATCACGTGATTACTCACAAAGAAAAAGTCGCACAAAGGGCCTTTCAAAGGCGCTGAGCGCTGAGGCCTGGGGTGGCAATCAAAGAGACAATCATAGGGAAACACAATAAATAGGTTAACGTATGGCTAGCAGACCCTCCCAGCTTACTACGATTCACCAAGATGACTCCACAACTTTTAATCAGCAAAGTTGCTTTGGCTTTCCTTCTTGTAGCGTCCCTCTTCCTAGGAGCGCTACTTGCGTACACAATACTTTGGGTGGGCGGCACAAGTCGAAGTGTAATTAACGACGTGAGTCCCACCATTCGATATCTTTACTAAAGCCTGGGGGAGCTGAGATGCCGAACCCAGCAACAAGCAGCCATAAAAAGACTGCGAAATCTCGCCATGCTCTCTTTGATTGAACAAGCAGATCAAATCGACATTGAATACCAGAGGCTGGCAGCACGCGTGGATCACATCGCGAACGGGATGGATGAGGTAACAAAATCGCTATTTAGCATAATTTGTCGACTGACGAACATTGCTTCAGATTAGGCGAATGTCAGTGACTTGGCTTTAGATTGCGAGATAGCTATATAACACCGTTTGCAACATTGTATAGAACTTGATTATATTTCACCTGTAGACCGCTTCAGAGAGCCTTCCTCCAAAAGATGACGCTTACCTTTGATATAATGGTTCTCAGGCTGCGAGTCGCGGGAGTTAGGAGCTCACTTCGCCCTACTAATTGGGTTGCTTGTACGGTATAAAGCATCAACAACTAAGTAATGTCACCAACCCCACGCAAGGAACTCAATTGACTAAATGTCATTCGCTTTGTTTGAAAACTGCTGTACCTGGGAAGGATCTAAAGGCATCTTTCATGTATGAGATCAATAATATACTTACGAACGATGATATGTGCTTTTTGAGGATTGACTTCCGAAAGTCGCTGAACACCCTCGTGACAACCCTGCCCAGTGAGATGCTTTTCCCATTCATCCATGTTGATTAAGTGAGGTGGGATATCGATGACACGACTGCCACCATCATTCATACCAATAATGCGTTGGTCCCAAGCTAAAAAAAGGGATGTTATGATGTAGGTGGTTCCGAAGATTGGCTTGCCAGGCTCACCCTTCGGGATGTGCCCCAACCCGACAGTGACTTCTAACTGGGTCGGAACGTCAATGAATCAGTGTCCATCAAAATGGGGGATGGGCGAACCGGAGGTCCATCTGCAGTCGTGCTTCGATCAAGTGTAATATCCCCAGGGTGTAACTTGCACATGTGATACAAAACGACGCGACTGCCATGAGTAATGAGTTCACCTTGTCCAACTATCTCCTCTATGACAATTGGGTGAGGGGTTGAATCCGGGCTACCATCCATCTTAAATGGGTCTTTATCTACAACTGCCGGCAGATCTTTGTTATCCTGAGCAATAGATGACATGGCAGTTCAAAGACCGGTCAAAAACAAATAGGCCCACTAACATGGATTGACCGAGAGCTGTCTTCGTGAGCAGTTGATGCCAAGACAGGTTGAGGCGCGAGAATACTGCTGGCTTTTACACTTTTTGGCGCTTCGAAGGGTGTGACTTGAGGTCCAGTTGAATGATCACCAATATAGTTTCCGATTAGGTGGACATCACTGGAACCCAATGTCAAAGTGAAAAAAATCAAAAAAGAGATGCGCACTTGTCACCGACAACTTCGAAGGCATATTCTTTACCAGCATCCAGTTCTATGCAGGTGGAGAAGTGCTCACTCTAGAGAAACATAAAGCACCTATAGCACTGGGCTCATCCGACACAAACCTTGTAAGGCGTCAACGCGCAGATAGGAACTACTTCGACCTCTTCTTGATCTTCTCTCTCGAAACAGAGTTGCACGACTGATCTTCCAGCGAGATCCTTAACATCAGGACCAAGTGCAAAATTCGTGATTCTGAGATCCTTTGCAAAATAGACCGATTGCACTTCTCCTGCACGCAATCGCATGGACCTACATCATTGTGAGAAACAATGCATCTTTTCGTTCTAAGAAAAACAACTCACCATACACCAGGCATCGTCCGGTATGGAAAAGTGACGGATATAGGAGGGTGTGATGGATGAAGATGGGAGCTGGCGAGGTAAGTGGTGTTGGTGGCGGGTTCAAGCAAGCCCGCCTGTGGAACCTCGAGGCCACAGGTTTGAACCCCTGGTTTGCGAGTTTTCTTCCCCTCCTTTTTTTTCTTCTTCGAAATATGACACTGTACTCGACTGGTATCTATGCTCATGAAATGAATATTTGCATGTATACTACAGTTATACACATTGTGCTTATACTACTGCTATAAGTAGGAATCTTGGCAAAGATGTTATGTTCAACGTTACATACCAGTAGGAAGGAACAATCCATCGAAAAAGCCATCCCTATCCACATCCTCCTCGCGGGCGATCTCATCGTCACTCAAGTCTAATCCGAGAGCAGCCCTAACATCTGAAAGGAAGGCCCTCGCCTTGTAAGGGCTGAGAGTAGGTTGTTCACGGATTTGGCCCCTGCAGAGTGGGCATTCGTATACGAATATGTCCTCTGGCTTCCTTCGACCATGACGCCGAATGGCAGTCACTGTCTCCTGAAGATGCTTCAGGCTCGTCGGAACAGCGTGGCAATCATACTCGTGTTCTTTATGGGATAAAAGAGACCCAGCGGTACGCCGAAGACGCGGCCGTACCTGATCGGCAAACGTTGTGCGGATGCAATGCCCACAAAAAGTGTGGAGGCAGCGTAATCTAGGAAATTCGTCTCAATAGGGGAAATCGGAAAGTTGGCATGTCGTACTGACACAAATGGGTTCGCCATGATCCCTGTGCAAATCGGGCACTCAGCTGCGGACTTGAAGGCCTCGCTAACCTACAACACTTGATCAATTAAAGCGATGAAATTCATAAAGCGTACTCACCCGCTGTAGTTTCTGATGATCACTTTCTTGTGGGGCGGCTTGAGCAGGAATGTTGGTTGGAGAGGAGAAAACACCGGTCAACCGAAGAAATTCGGACATAGATGGCACGGAGTCGGAGGAAGGGGCGGGTGAAGCCAATGAAGATTCAGACACAGATGGCGGAAAGTCGGAGGAAGGGTCGGGTAAAGCTAATACTCCCAGTCGCAAGCGATTATGCGCCGCGCTGTACTGGCGGACTGTACGAGGAGGTGTCAGGGGAACACAATGCGCGTTTGTTGTAACTCGGGAGGCAGATGCCTGTTCAGACCCTGCTTCTGAGGATCGAGTGGCACTTTCATATCCAACCCGAGCCAACCACGGTCGAATCCTGCGGCCTGGGCTAATATTTGTTGGCAAAGTCTCTGGAGGTTCAGGTGTAGATGGGGGCGAATTGGAGGAAGGTATGGGTGTTGCTAATGCTCTCAATCGCAAGCGATTGTGGGCAGTGCTATACTGGCGGACCGTCCGAGGAGGTGTCAAGGGAGCAGATTGCATGTTTGTTCGAGCTCGAGAGGCAACAGGCCGTGCTTCTACAGATTGAGTGGCACGTTCATGTTCAGCCCGAGTCAACGACCGAGTCCTGCGACCTGGGCTAGGAGTTGTTGGCAAAGTTTCTCGCCTGCGGGACATGGCAACTGGTAGATGACAAGGACTGAGCAATGCGGGGCTATGACGGACACAGCGAGAATTCTCGTCCAGCGAGGGGAATGGTATCAAAGGTAAAGTATAGTTAGTACTTAAACGTCAAAGACAAAGACTATTCCTGCAGGTCACGTGATGATAATACAGGATCCACGCAGCAAAGTGACTTTGGCGAGGCGATGAATGTAATGCGAATTCGTTCGATAAGGGTGCAAGAGAGTTGCGAAGGATATTCATGGGATGTTCATCGTGATAAGAGATGGGTGAAAGGCCGCGATGTGAAACAGCCAAAGTGAGTTGGCGAGATGGCGAACGAGGCGCGAACTCGCTCGACGTTCGACGTCCAGAGTCGGATAACTCGGGGTGCAGGCTCTGTGCAACAGGTCTATAATACATGCAAAGATCTGAAGGGGGGGGCAGATAACTTGTGGTTTGAGGAAGGCATAGCAAAGCGCGAATTCGCTCAGTGCATATAGCGTATGAGGTTGTCGCCTGCAAGAATAATGTCCGGCCGATGGTTACAATACTTCCATCCCCGGTCAACGCTCCGCCAAACTCCTGAGCTGCAGGTCACAAGGAGTGAAAGGACAGGAATTGAAGTGGGGCGAAGCGGTGAATGTGGAACGCACATGAACTTGGGTTGAATTCCTGCGGTGTCCGTGGTCTAAACCTTGCACCTCGTAGTCACTCGACAAAATGCAGACTTGAAAGGTGCTAACTCACTGACGCGGCGCGCGGCTTTTGACCTGCAAGTTTGCTATTACTTAGCCGAGTGCGAGCTAGGCGTTTCTTTGTTTGTTTCATGGTCTTGAAGTAAACAACACCGGTTCAATCACACCAAGATCAAACTCCACAGCATGTGTGGTCCTTCCGCCCGTGCGTTTCACCGAAAACTCTCAACAAATATCGGAACGTAGGTATTGGAGAGGGCGACGACGGAACTTGTGGTTTCTGTTTCTTGGTGCGTCGAATTTTCGTTATCTCCGCAATTTTAGTTGAGCACCATGCATGCCAGGGTTTGGCCGGCGTCTCGTCTGGAACTTGAAGGCCTCCCTGCGGCGTCGTTCTTTTCTCGCGGAGGATCACATGTACATCTTAGATCCACTCGGAACTGCGGCGGAGGACCTCTCTAACAACTCAGGAGCTAAGCATCAGAGCTCCAAAAGCAACGGCGATATTGATACATATATCTATCAAGGGATTATACTTTGGTGCCTTCCTGTGGGTATGGACTTTTCATTGACAAGCTAGTGCCTAATGACCTCTTGCCAGCTCACGTTTTTACGGTCTACCGATGGATACTGGGCGCCACTCTTTATACTATCCTCTGAATAGGTCCACGCCCAGTGTCTCACGGACTCTCACCCCACCTATTTGTCCTGCTCGATGATCAAATTCTCGCAGGCTGCATCTGCAAACTCTACTCCAATAACCCAGGGGGTCGCAGGATGGGGCGGCCGATACGGTATTCGCCAACTGGGCCTTCAAGTTGTGCGAGGACGACGGGGTTACATCATCCTATTTGCGGACCCTCAAGGAATGCCAGAGCTGCAAGAGGTCACTAATCTCACCTTTGTGTCCGATGCTTGGCTCATTTTCTTAGTTATTTGTTACTAGGCACGTCCAGCGAGCACTTTGACGACCCTTGCAAGTACATACTTTGGAAACTGAGCGAATGCGCTCTTTGCCCTTGGTAGGATGGGTTTGAACCTGCCAGTCGTCCAGCGAGCAGCTTGATGACCCTTGCAAGTACATACCTTGGACATTGAGCGAATTCGCGCTTTGCCCTTGGGTGGGAAGGGTCTGAACCTGCCAGACGAACTGTTGACATCAGGCGACATGAAAACATCGACCGCTGCTCCTTTATGAACCCATACTTGGCAACCTGTACCGACCGACTTTCATGATGCGTTCCGAAGGCGCTAAAGGACCTATTTGTCTAGGCGCTAACGGACCTATTTGTCGAGGCGTTGGAGAAGACTGCTTGCTCGATGATGAAATTCTCGCCATTTGGGCAGGCTGCAACTGGAAACTCTACACCGATGACCCAGGGGGTCGCGGGATGGGCGGCCCATAGTGTATTTGCCAACTGGGCTTTCTCGTTGTGCGAGGAACCTTTGTGTCCCATTTTTGGTTCATTTTCTTAGTTATCCGTTACCAGGCACAACGGATCATTGGGGAAGTGGAAAACTGGTTGTCCAGCGAGCACCTTGATGACCCTTGCAAGTACATACTTTGGACATTGAGCGAATTCGCGCTTTGCCCTTGGGTGGGAAGGGTTTGAACCTGCCAGATGAACTGTTGACATCAGGCAAACGTCAACAAATCAACTGCTGCTCCTTTGTGAGCCCATAGTTGACAACCTGTACCGACCGACTTTCATGATACCTTCCGAGGGCGTGAACATACCTATTTGTCCAGGCGTTGGAGGAGACTGCTCGATGATGAAATTTTCGCCAGGCTGCAACTGCAAACTCTACTCCAACAACCCAGGGGTCGCGGGATGGGGCGGCTCGTTGACGGGGTTACATCATCCCCCTCAAGGAGTGGCAGATCTAGCTACAAAAGGTCACTAACACCTTTGTGGCTCATTTTCTTAGTTAATCGTCACCAGGCATAACGGATCGTTGGGGAAAAGAAAGACTGGTTGTTCCAGATGACCCTTTCAACACATACCTTGGCCACTGAGCGAATTCGCGCTTTGCCCTTGGGTAGGAAGGGTTTCAACCTGCCAGGCGAACTGTTGACATCAGGCAACGTCAACAAATCAACTGCTGCTCCTTTGTGAACCCATACTTGGCAACTTGTACCGACCGACTGTCATGATACAGGACCTTCCGAAGCTGGTTCTCATCGGTCTTTCCTTCCACGCAAGATATACCTGAACGATTGGTTTGCAAGGTTGATTGTGTTAAGCACTGAGTGAACTCGTGCTTTGCTAACATGATCTCTTCATGCCCTCCTTCAAGTCCCTATTCTTCGTGATCGGACGATTGTCTTTTCTCCCATATATAGAAGCATGTCTGGAGACATCCTTCGCCGCCCCTGGGCTGGAACTCAATCTGTTAGATGAACCAGATCTGTGCCTCCGTTGTCAAGCATTCTGCCGCTCAACGCCCAAGATTGTGGCCAGCGTTTCGGGCTTTGCTTCGTCTGAGTTGTTCTCCTACTGGAGTGATGGTTGATCCAGAAGGATATTGCGATTCAACGTTGGCCTTGTTCATCCCGAAACCTTCTATACCAGTTCAACACCCGAGGTGCAAGATGGGTGTAGGATTGCTTTCTACAAGTGAAAATGCTTAACGAATTTGCCACCCATCGTCGTACATACTCATGTTGCACGTGACGTACATTACATAATTGTCACAATCTTGTGTTGGAAAGTCGACCTCTTTGTTAGCGATTATCTATGCCTCATCTTGCCAATGGCGTCGCGCGCGAACAAAAGAAGCAACGGCTGCCTCCAAAACAACGTCCTTGCACCTGTTTCGAGTGTGCAAACACCTGGTCCATTGATCGAGCCACGAAATCGTTTTTTCGTGGCCAGTACCTCGGCATCACTGAATGGAATCAGCATCGAAAACACACATTGCAGGCTGGGATAGCAGAGGCCCATCTAGCGGACACTGCGGTTGGATTGGTTTTACCATCAATGGAGCTTCCCCGTCCTTCAGATTTGTTTTCGCTCCCTTTCACGGACCACTTGATACAAAACAGTGCATCACAACGGGATCAGAGCCCGGGCGGGAGGTCGTCGGGCAACCTGTTGCCTGAGCATACTTTGGAGGATTCAGCGTCCGAAGAAATGATTGGCACAGCCGATAACGACTCATTGTCCGAAGAAATGATTGGCACAGCCAATAACGATTCAGCGTCCGAAGAAGTGATTGGCACAGCCAATAACCCCTTGGTGTTTGGGCGTCGCCTACGCCGCATGCGACCGTGGGAGGAGTCGGTTGACGCATTGACTATGCGTCGGCTGAGAGAGATTAAACTCACTTTAGAAAAGCAAGGGACTGATCGAGCCATGTCTAGCCCACTCGTGTTTGCTCACCCTCCCAGTGAATATCTGGTCACCGGTCGACTCTCTTACGAACTTAACGACGAGGCCTCAGTCAATACGGCCATAATAGGCGAGGAGGAGTGGCTCAACGGTATGAAGCAAGAAGTAAGAGAAATGGCTCTGACCACCTCGCTGACGCGTTGCACAGCAAAAGTGCTACTGGCGGATATTGAAGCCCATCTAGACGCTTTGTTTGATCTCAGATACAAAGAGTGGTCCCTCCAGCACACCGCAGCTGTTGCTTCAAGCGAGAACGCTTATGAGAGCGGTAAGTTCCTTCAACCATGTTTCAAGGTTTCTCTAATCCCCTTATGCAGCTGTCTACGCTTCACCATCATTTGCCTCCGCTGAACCGATTGGTCTCATCATTTATATTGTACTTGCGACCCTACACATACTCTGTGGCGTTTCCATCCAGCATTGTCAATTCGCCTTGCTCGGCATCGGGATGGCCCTCAGTCTGGCCTTGAGTGGATCACCTGATGCTGAAGCCAAGCAAATCATTGCCTCTATCCCACAGGATTTCCGCACAGTCCTCTCAATACTGAATCTCGAACCGACTCATAAGGCTTTTGTTTGCTGCCCCAAGTGTTTTTTCACATATGATGCAGACGAGGCCTATCCGGAAAGGTGTACGAATCGTGATTTTCCAGACAGCGATCCTTGTGGACGGAAGCTGCGCAAAACCACTGGAAAAGGGAATCTTTTCACCGGGGTTGAGACACCCACGCGAGAATTCCTTTACCAGGATATGAAACATTACTTAGCGAGGCTGTATTCTCGTCCTGATCTTGAAGATCATCTGGACCGCGATGTTTTGGGACCGCACCCAGACCAAGCACCCAAAAAGATGTCGGATATTTGGGACGGTACTTTGTTGCGCAAATTACAAGGACCGGATAAAGAGTTGTTTTTGAAAAGGCCTGGTACGGAGGGTCGTCTCGTTTTCAGCCTCAATGTTGATGGCTTCAATCCACTGAGAACCAAAGCTGCTGGAAAACAAGTTTCAAGTTGTGGGATGTATATGGTCTGCTTAAATCTACCGCCTTCCATTCGTTACAAATCCGAAAACGTATACCTCGTTGGGGTGGTGCCCGGACCCAGTGAACCATCCCTCCACCAAATCAATTATTTGCTTCGACCTCTAGTGGACACCCTCCTCGAACTTTGGCACACGGGCGTCTACTTCAGCCGTACGTCACGTCATCTGTATGGACGTCGAGTCAGATGTGCCCTAGGGCCTTTGGTCTGTGATCTTCCCGCGGCTCGCAAAGTTTCCGGTTTTGGCCATTTCAAGTGTCGCCATTTCTGCTCCGAGTGTATGCAGCCTCAGGACGAAATGGATGAACTTAATTACAAAAACTGGGTGCGTCGAAACTACGAAGACCACAAAGCAGCAGCCGAGGCATGGAAGGCTGCGCAATCTGAGAAAGAACGCAAGGAGTGCTTTGATAAGCATGGAGTGCGCTGGTCTGAGTTGCTTAGGCTCCCGTACTGGGATCCCACCCGCTTTGTGGTCATTGACTCTATGCACTGCTTCTATTTACGAATTAGTCAACGACATGTCAGGGATGTCTTCGGAATGGATGTATCTCATTCCGACGGTCTCGGCATTAGCTTTGACAGAAAGAGCATGCCAACGGATCAGACTATGGATGCAGCGCGAAAAACTTTGCAGACGGGGTCACCACAGCAGCTGAAAAAGCTTCATCGAGGAGTCCTTGAAGAGCTCTGTCGGGAATCAGGACTTCGGTTTGCAGGAACTCACGCCAAACTCTTAGAGAGGCTTCTTCAACTCGTACGTTCCTCTTTCCCGAAAGGTGTTTCTCTATCTGATCGTCATTTTAAGCGGCTTGACAAGGGCTGGCTTGAAGGAGATTCCACAGCACAGTCAAAGGACAATGAGCCTATAATGCAGGAGGCCGTCAAAGTGGACCGCTCTACTACACCTGTACCCCCGGTGGCTTCGTCTATAGACCCTAGTGCCATTGATACAGCTGGTCCGGAATCGGCGACTTCTACAGAGGCCACAATGACGGAAGAGAAAGAAGCACATCATATGTATGAAACGGCTGCTAAGACGACCATACTCAAACGAAAGAAAGCATTCCTGATCTTGATGTGTGTCTTGCGGCTGTCTAGTACTAGTGGTCCAAAACGAAGTCATCGCGACTACGAAGAATTGAACAAGGAGAACTTGATCAATTTGATACAAGAATCAGTACGTGCTTTCAAAGACTTCAATAGCAATGTACTCAATGAAAATACTCTCAGCGCAAGAAGGACGGCCTCATAGGTGATGATGGTAAACTCTTTCCCAAGCCAAAGGCCCGAAAGGAAGAAGATAAACAGAGAAGGCATGGCGATAGCAAAAAAGTCAAACTGCCACCGAAAACTCGAGTTCTTGGGAAGGAAACACTGGCTGAAGTTCGACGCGACATGGCAGACTTATCCTTGCCAACCTGGATCTCAAAAGCTCCACCACACCCCGGTGAAACCAAATGGGGGAAGCTTTATGCAGATCAGTGGCGAGCTCTTCTTACTGTTAACCTTCCGACTACCCTTATGAGACTCTGGGGTCACAAGCCCAAAGATAGCAGGGAGCGCCAAATGTTGGAAAACTTTATGCATCTCGTAACCGCCGTCAAACTCGCGAACATGCGTGTTATAACGGAAGCCCAAATTCTCGACTACGAGCATGAAATGCATCAGTATCTGACTACCCTTCTCGTCTTGTTCCCTGGAACCGACATAAGTCCTTATCAGCACATGGCTCTCCATTTTGGCGACCAACTCAGGCGCTTTGGGCCGACACATGCTTGGCGCTGCTTTCCATTTGAGCGATACAATTATCTTCTGCAACAGATACCAACTAATAAGCACTATGGTATGTAAATTTTCAGAGACTGAACCGGATGCGTCCCGCCTCTGATACATGTACTATAGGCGTCATGGAGAAAACTATGCTTAAACGATTCTGCATGGGTCAGAATCTTCGTGCGGTCTTTAACGAACAACAGGTGCCTCGTGAACTTCATCCCATCATTCAAAAGTATGAGCAAACATTCAACGCCGATGTCCGAGGGACTTTGCGAAGTGATAATCTGTCATTTGATGATGCATTCGAGAAACAACCAGAGAGTATGAGCTGGAACGCGAAAGACACCTCCCCCTTGACTCCAGACACAAAGCAACTCCTTCAAGATTGGATTCACCATCGAGAACCAGAATCCGCGCAGCATCGCCTTCCGAATAGAGTCTTTTTCAGGAGGATTATCGTGCGTCTTGGTCAAACATTCCACACGACGAAGACATCGCTAGCGGACAGTAACATCATATTTCGCCAACCTGGCAGCGCCGATTTGTTGGCTGGGTCGATCTCTTCCATCTTCTCTCTGACGCGGTTCCAAGGGCAAGATAAGAAGCAAGTCACAGAGACGTTCCTTGTTCTACAACAATATACCCCATTAAACAGACAGGACGCCTCAGCTGACCCGTTTAGACAGTTTCCACTTTATGGATCTCGGCTTTTCTACAAGAGCTTCAATGTCCGACCAGTGCTCGTTCATATCAACGACGTCATCTGTCATTTCGGAATGTTACCTTATCAATCAGAAGCTATCGGCAGGGAGTGCATTTACAGTCTACCTCTACTCAAAGTGAGCGAGGTTGTCTCCAATTCACCTGAAGACTTTGTTGTTGATTGACTATTCAGGCCTGAGTATGAACGTTGGTTCCCTGTCCTAGTTGTACTTGTTCATAGTGACGACCCCTTACGACCCTTTTCCACCCAGTGTATCCCAAGTTTCTGTTGTGTGCGCGTTACCCCTCCCTGTGCATTCCATTCGTATCGTAGTATCTTTTGTGTTCTTTTTGTGTCCTAGTACGCCAACGCGCAATTAATCATTATTCTTTCTATGCTTAGTCCGGCTACAATGTCAGAAACTGCGATTTCCTCCGTCGTGCTCATCGTCAGACAGTATCAAAGTGTGGTAGTTGATAATAGCACCCTTCTTGGGCAACCTCTCTTCCTAAGCAGCCCCGCCCTTCATCCTCTCACCAACCTCGTAGGTATGTCACATTGACAAGTATCCTTGTCTGAGACTCTTCACAGTGTTAGCGCCCTTCTTCACTGCCATCGCAGACGCCAGCAATAGCGAAGACAGAGCCATCGCCGTCCTCAATTGGTTCATCGTCAGTTCCCCTTTCCATGGAACGGTCATGGAACGGTCGCGGATTCACTGAACTAATTGCCGAGCAGGTCTCCCACCCCACATCATCGAGAACGAGTTTGAAGGACGGCGTCTCGTGGGCCATAATGCGCAAAAGACTAGTTTCAGCGGTAAAAACCACCATGACGCCGATGCCAGGAATGGGCGGCCAAGAAAAGAGGGCTAACAGGGTACATGAGGAGGTCGAAGGGGAGGATGAAGGCAAGGCTTGACCCAGGGGCCAAGTTAGACCATTATCTCGCCAAGGGAACCGCAGGCAAACACGACAGATTCAGAGCCTGGTATGTCTTCGGATTCCTGTTGATGCGAAGTGTTAGTTAGCCTACTGCAATTTTGGAATGACACAGGTAAAGTTTGACAAGAGGACACGACGAAAGGGAGCGAAAGCGACTGTAAAGGCGCGTCAAAAACAACGACAGTATAAAACCTCAAGGGCACTTAATAGAACCACAATAACGGCGCTAAAGAAAAACGACGGAAACTGGTACAAAAAGACCAAACCCCAACTCACCGGCCAACTCTGAGCACTGAGCACCTTGAACGTTCCCCAGGTAAACCCAATCTCCCCACGATGGCCGTTAAACAGCATTTTCCTCGTCCACTGTGCCCCCTGGTATCCTACGCGGAGTGGAGTCAATCGGTCCGTCACGGCTCCTTGAGTATGCTGGGGTGGAACTTTCGGAGGTCCTAGAGTAGTGGCGGCACCAGAATCGCTGATGCACCTAGGACTTCCGCGCGGCTGGCTTGGCAGGATCACAGAACTTCCATCGTCCGTGCTCAAGAGGATCATTCTCTCATGAGGTTGGTATCCACTCGTGACGATGGATACTGGGCTTTCTTCGATGACTTAACATCGGACGCCTGGCTTGGAAGATTCAGAATGTCAGTGAATGGAGCGTGAAAGGAGAGGAACCGTACCAGTTAGCGGAAATGCAGGCCTTGAGCGAGCCTGTCTACCTGATGCACTTTCATTACGGGAGGACCTGGGTTCGCAACGCAGTAACACAGTAGAGTATCCGATTGAGATAGGTGCTCTTGATTCTTGAAACGAGAAGATTGCATTTGAAGCTTGCATGATCACGAGTGCGCATCAATTAATCAGGCCGTGACTTATGTGTCACAATGCCAACATCTACCGAAGGTAATAGGTATCACATCTCTCCGTCAAATATCTCATGCTGAAGACGAGACTAAAAGCAGGCTACACTGCGTCCAACCATGTACCTGTACAGAGGGGCGGATTTTCGGCCCGCGGCTTTTCACACTTTCCAGGTCTTAAACGATACATGGTGTCTTCTTCACCAACGCGACCACTTATCATGTATATCTCAAGCAGCCTGTGCTCACATTTCACAATTTCAAAACGAACTTTCATCGATCAGGAATGGAACATCCAGTGCTCTAGGTCTACCGGTTTATTGGAACGTCAGCGTACCATGGCTTCCTTGGACTCCTTCGAACGATTCTCTTCCTTCAGCCGCCGCCCTACCTGAACTCCAATTGGAGCTTGCGGAGGCTCACCAGTGCATACGGACTTTACTTTCGCTCTACCCTGAGTACCAAGGCCCGAAGCCAAACATCACCGCTGCGACGTCTTCCGTCCTGGAAATCCGGCAGTCATTCATTGATTGCGTTGCATTTTTACGTTGGTGGATGGCTTGGATGCCCGAGTCTCTGGACTCGAAGAATCGTCCAGTGAAGACGAACATCCAAAAGTTAGTTCTTAAATGGCAGTTGGAATCCTTCCCCAGTGTAGGAGTTGTCGTGGATTTGGTTCGAGATTGGCAGACGGCCAACCTGCCTCTTTGGATCGAGAAAGGCATGCGAGTCTACTACCAATGGTCTCCATCAGCCTCTGAAAACCCCCGTTTCCGTCACTTATCGCCAGCGTTACTCTCACAGCCTAGCAAAGGACAAGGGTTCTCACTTCCTTATGATGGATACTTCCAAGACAAATCCTTGACATTGCCAGCTCATAACGGTGCCGTAGCCCAGAGCATGCCACGGTCAGATAACTACGTCATTGACTTTGAAGGTTGGAAACGGCGGCCGATAAGCAAAGCCAAGGCTCAAGAGTATTTTCGTTATATGCCCTTTTTCAAGATCGATACACCGAAGGGTGAACGTGTTGTCTTTTCAAGGTGGAGGCCACGATCCAGGCCGTCATGCTCTGACGACTCTGACTCTGAAGATTCGGAAGATTGCGATCCTATGGAGTCTGAAGGCCTCATCCGAGAAATGTTCGCGTGGAACTATCGACCTCTCCAAGGAAATCCATATGACCTACTCACAGGTGGGGATTCGATACCCACTTTGAACTTACCACGATCGCCATTCACATCTTCGGCCAGAACCACTCATAATAGCAAACCCTACGATAGGCCTCTCACGGGACAATTACAAAACAGGACACCCAGAAATCAACATTCTCGCGACCACGTTGGTATTCATGCCGACCTTACCACCCACCCAATATACCCACATCCTGTTTTATCAGAAGGGAGTTCAGTAAGTCTTTCCTCATTGTGCTGAATCAGGTTTAACCCATTTCTACTAGTCACGTTATCGAAATGTTCCTCCCCTAGCAAAAACGTTGAGGAAGCCAGAAGTACTGAACAGCCCGCCCACCAGTAGCTTGGTTGGTATTCATGCCGACCTTACCACCCACCCATCATGCCCACATCCTGTTTTATCAGAAGGGAGTTCAGTAAGTCTTTCCTCAATGTGCTGAATCAGGTTTAACCCATTTCGACTAGTCACGTTATCGAAATGTTCCTCTCGTAGAAAAAACGTCGAGGAAGCCAGAAGTACTGAACAACCCGCTCTCCAGTAGCTTGCCAGTTACGAACTTCCAGTCACAAAAAGCAACATGGTCAAATGAAGCTCATTACACACCAGGACCCAGAAAACGTCTGACCTTCGCCGAGTACGTGGCTCGAAAAAAGTTACGAACCGATTGGGACCCGATAAATGAAGTTCGTTTTGACCGGCTTAATAACGATTGCTTGCATGAAGTGACAATCATTGACGCGGAAGACCATAAAATGGAACTCGACACGGAGATGCCCAACAATGCCAATGATACATCACGCCAGGTGCGCAATCTACTCAATTCCTCTATTCCGGCTCTTATGAAGTTTTTCAGAAGCCTCCGGATTCTATGGATGTGGACAATGTTGACCATCTGTCTGCTGACCTGCACGGAGAAGACGATGAAACCATCTCTCTTGGCTCCGACGACGACGATTGGGGCCGTTTCAGCAGTCTTATTCACAATGCCGAGGCTCGAATAGAAAACATACCAAGCTCAGGGCGACAAGTAAATGTTGAATGTCTCTTGCTGGAGGTCGATCCATTAGCATCGTCCACCTTTTCATCGATATTTCCTCCATCGAATATGGACAACAACAATCATCTTGATCTGCTTGAAGACAAAGAATCAATTTCTCTTGGGTCACAAGGCGGCAACCGCAGCCACCCCACCAGTCATGACGCTCTTCCAAAAGACGATCAGACTCGAGTCGAAGTCAACCTAAGCCCAGCGTGTGCTAGACTCTCTTTACCAGAGGTTGCCAGGCCCGTTTTGTCAGTTCCCTTATCAAATAATTGGTCAACCCTTTCGCGTTTCCAGCCGTATACCCAAAGCTTCCCCGCCTTCCGTTTTGATCGAGGAGAGTTGAACTGGGACGCGGAACTGCTACACTCGGGACACCTCTTCTTTCCAAATCACGATAAGGAGGAAGGCAAATCTGTAGAAGTTCGCATTAGGTGTGCCCTTGCGGCCCACCCTGGCTGGACTCAGGAAGATGTAATGGACTTCGCCGTCGCACATTGCCTACCGTTTCGCGTGATGGCTCCTGTCTCGCGGATGTCTGGAATCGTATCCGCTGAATCCAGCATTCCCGATATTGATCATGAAAACCCCCAGGAGGTCGTCCGCCGTTGGAAAGCTGGCTTGGCCGACTTCTTTAAGCGCCGCCATTCCCGAGCCCTCCTGTTTCTTGGTGGGATAGAAACCAGGCTAGCCTTGATGGTTGGTGGTTTAGACTTTGTCGGTTCTGCAATGCAGGGCGCGGATTTGACAGGCCCCCGATGTACTGAAGAGAGGGACGGACAAGTATTCATAGACGATGCAGTAACAGCCGACGAAGTCAATTTACTCCTAGGATGTATTACTCCGGCTCCAGCCAATCGTCGAAAGGTCGTCCGATCGCTTTGGCCCAGTTCGGCACAGCTTAAATCAAAATTCTCCGAACACTTCACTGGCGATTGGAACAGCCCCTGCGAGGATTTATTCCAAGCAATATGGCGAGAAGTAAACGGGCAAAAGCCGAAGCTTCGTAACATCACTCAATGGCGAACATTTTTTAAACACGGAGGAAGGACAAATTCGACGTCCCCCTCCCTTGAACAATCTGCTTGGAGGGAGGCGCATGAGGTGTTGATAGAGGAGGTCGAGTGGCATGGGATGCGAATGTCAGATTTATTCCCGCAGATTACCGTACATTCTGCAACCTGAGAGCTAAGGGTGGCCGATAGAGTAAATGGTAATAGCGTTCTTATTATAGACGACTGAAGTAGATCAAACAATGTTCAGCGTACGAGTTGATGCCAGAGGTTGCGCGAGGGGGAATAAATTCAAACGCGTCGTTCTCCACGATGAATGTGCCTTCTGCATAACATTTGAGTCAGAAATCAGAGGAGTGTTCAAACGACAGTATTTCAGGCCTATTGGTCACATGTTGAATATCACGCCAACTGGGTCACTTCATCCATTATGGACAATACACACAATCTTTGGTGTGGATCCTTTCTATCTCTTCATAGCTCTTAGTTGACAAACGTAGGACTGCTCGAATCTCCGGGAACGAACTCCGTCAGGTTTGCCTTCAAAGGGATATGAGACTATCGAACATATCCCTTGGGGCGATCATCCGGAACGTCGAGGAGCGTACCCTTGTCCAGTTTCATTACTTCGCAACGAAATCGAAGGCACCCGTGATATCGACGGCGGTTCTGTGCGCTTTGATCCCGCAACAGGTACACTTTACCCAGTAGGCAGATGCCATTACTAAACCGTCAAACGAAAGACAGAACAAGTGGTAACAAACGTGGTTCTCGAAGCTCACCAAGAGTATGCTTTTGAAGTAACTGGAAGGAAGTGGGTGTTGCAAATTTCGTCCGCCATCTTCGACCTTACTGATGAGCTTCAGTGATGTTTTCATTGCAGGCAATTTCATAGGTACTTTTTCTGCTTTGAAGCATAGTATCTTGGTTCCTTAACATGATATAGCAAGCCCTGGCGATGTCGCTCGCCAGGAGGGTGGAATCGAGTGGGGGCCTATTTCAGAAACACACGAGTGCACTCCAACACCACAAGAGTCGCGCACATCTTCTCTTCGCAGTTTTCCAGAAGCAGATCTTTTTGACATCAACCCGTGTAAAACGAACGAATCAGAAGAAGAAAAAGAAGAAAGGGGTGACGACAACTCCGGTATCATGATCAAGGATGTGCAACCCATGGGTCTTGCGAATGGGAACAAGGGGCCAAGGGTTCGGTTGGGGAGTCAGATTGACATTTGGTATGCGGTTTTTATGAAAGAAAGTGCAAAACTTCTTGCAAGGGCATGGAAAGTAGATGGGGATCCAGTAAGATTCTAATCAAATCAAAGGTCTTTCTCCATTTTTCTCTCTCTGCAGTTTCGCATCGTCGTGGGCGAGAGCGACGTTCCACCGGGCAAGTGGTTCATCTGATCAGTTCATGCTGTATCTGACATTGCCTGACAGTAGTTTGGGAGCAGTCGCTTTTAGGTATGCAAGCTGGAGGGCTTCGCTACATCGAGGTTCCCCCTGGTCTGGTTCATTACGAAGAGTGGAGGAGCTTTGTATCCTTCCCAGGACATCTCCAGCGAGGTTTGACAATCCTGATTCGTAAGTGAATTATCCAATATTCCCACCATGTTTTACTGATTCTGGCACAAGAGTGCTGTGTCGAGTCAATCCTTCCGTCGGATGACCCAAAGCGCGAAATATCTACGAAACGTTGCTAGCACAAAACTTACATCCATTACGGATCTACGTTGAATTTAGATTTTCAATGCATAATGTAAAGTATAGGCATATGACGAAAAGTCTCTATATACACATTTACTCGCCCGTATACTAAGTACAAACATTAAGTTAAATCCTGAAGGTGGCGAAATTATCAATGTAATAGAGTGCACCTGCAATACATACTATTATCATAGAAAAGACCCACTTCCACACCACTCTCGGGTGCCTCCTTACCTCAATAGCTCCGGAATAAGGCAGCTCCACCTTTGTCCCTAGAATATATGCTGTAGGCCATAGAAGAACTCAGCTACAAAATGATCTTTACCTATTGCTTGTGCGCGCCATAGTGAGATGGTGCGTCCCCTGTCTGAAGCAGTCGCAATTTGAAAACGCTCACCATGAGCAGCACAATGGTATGTTGCCTAATAAGCATTATGAGAAGTTGGGTGCACAGAAATGAGACATACAGCAAGGTGTTGAACGGGATGAGTGAGTTCACCGTCATTGAGTAAAACTTGTACCTGAGTGCCTGACCCAACATGCCAGATTGTTGCTTTACCAATACCGCCGCCAAGCAGCCACTTCCCACCTTGTATGAACAAAGCTGGAAAGGGCTGCGTTTCAGAGGAGCAGTCATGTTCCCGAAAAGTTCGCACATGGACCCCACTTTCGATGCTATAAACATCGAAGCCCTGCTGCATGTTTGAAACAGCAAAGAGTTTTCCATCAGCTGAGAGGCTGGCACCTGACCTACTATATTTGCGTGCTGGTGAACTCAAACACTACAACGCAGCATATTTTGATGACGTACAAGATGCGGAGGTGACTGAGAGCAAATTTTTGTTCCTGGGGTTCCAGACTCCAGACGCTATCCCAAAGTCAGTCGGTGAAATTTGGACGAATGGGCTTCTATAACCCACATGACTCCGTGGTGGGCGTAGGATATAATAATGGTATTGATGTTCGAGACTTCTGTGCTTGGCCAAAACAACGAAGTAACCTTCACAGGGCCGACATCGTTGACTGCTGGGCTTTCGAGAGTTTTCCGATGCTGCCAATCTATGTGGGAAATTGAGTTCACGGTGAATGAGACGGAAATGAATAGAAACAACCACCACTAGCGCTGTTGAGAACCCAGAGACCAACCCCACCGTCAGTGGCAATAGCAAGATGAGTTCCCGCCTGATGCACAGATATGGACGTCAATGGCGCAGTAGATGCTTGATATCCAACAGTGACCCATTCCTTTTGGCGAAGTTAGCAGGTCGATTGGATGATAATATGTCCAGACAGGCGTACCTGCCTTAACACGTCCACCTTTGTTGCGGTGAGGAAGCCTGACTCATATCCGCAGTAAAGGGTGTTGTTGGGGCCCCATTCCAAACAGGTCACCTCTGACTTGCCATCATACACCAATGGAGATCTTCCGGTATCCATATCCCAGAGTGTAATGAGGCTGTGGGATCCAACAGCCAGAGTCTGGCCCTCCGCAGAAAAGGCAAGGCAAGAGATCGGGCCCAATTTATTGTCAATTTTATACTTGACCTCGTACCGTAGAGTCGACATATGTTGTGAGTACGAAATTCGAAGATGACTGGTGACAATGACAGTAGAGACATGAGGTTGTCCACAGTTCCAGGAGTTCGGAGGAATCACGTGATGTACCCTCATCCGTGTGCATGATCATGATGCGCTAATGGCATGCGATTTCTTGTAACGGTATGACTATGTAGGCGTAGGGTCGTTGGGTATGAAATCTGGTATGTTAGCGTAGCGAAGATTGGGATAAACATGAGTGCTACCACAGCCCATATGGAGTCGTCTGCTATTCGGACATCTGACACGAAACCTCCTACTCCAGCCGTTGACCACTCCCTCAGGCATGTTCGACCGATTCTCACTGCGGAATGACTCCACCAGCTGAGAGCCCCGAAGCATATTGCTACCCAACCTTCCCTCCCGAAACCCGCTCATGATGTCTGTGAGAAAAGAGCAATAAGACCAGAACTCGGGGGAATTGGACCATTCCCGTAACTTGCCTCATTCCGCAACTATAGCTCCAAATCTGGAATGAACCTTAGAAATCCGGAATGAACCTCAAAAAGTATTGTTCATACTGAAAGTCCTAATCAAGGTGTGGGGGCATAATGCTCGTCAATGGATGGTGGTTTACCAATCTGTCCTTCATGGTTTATCGGGCACGTTCAATGATGTCAAAGCCAAAGATCCAGAGCAAATAGTGTTCGGAGGCAGGTTCCTTTTGTTACCAAAGCCGCGCAAAACCCGATCTTTGAATGACGAAGAAACCCAAAGTGAGACCAGAACTCGGGATATCAGATCTGCGGCCTCACTGACCTCGTCCAGAAATCTATGGAGATCCAAAAGCCAACAACCCGGGGCAAGAAAAGTGCGAACTCGCTCGGTGATTGCCAACCTAAAAGCTATTGCTCTGTGATGTTGACGAGTTGCGATTGGCACAGTTCGTTGACCTCACGTATCATACCGGCACGCGGTGTGGCTTTGTCGATTTAAGTATACACATTCAGCTGCGCAAAAATGGGCAACGGTTGATTCGTTGACCTCGCCCGACGTCAGGGGTTCCTTTGGCAGATTCGTCCCTTTCCCAACCCAAGTTCATCTTGCGGAGAACTGAACCCCGGACTCAACATCAGCCCAGAACCATGGGCTGGTGGATCAGAACTCAAGTTGTGGGCTTTTGATTCCGGACTCAAAAGAACGACTCGGACACACAGAGGAAGGGCATTGATTCTCAAAACCATCCGCATAAGAGACGGACGGGTGTATCTATGGGAGAAAAGACGATCTACCGATCGCGGAGAAATCAAGAAAAGGGCCTTGAAGAAGGGGTAGAGAGATGACCAGCTGTCCCAGTGCATCAACTGATGGATGCCGATGGAGTTACGGCATGCGATAAAGAAGTGATACCCATAGAATTATTTGGTGAAGCAGGCTCGACGGTTAGAGAGTATGAAATGCCGTTAGCGCCTTCGAAAGATCCAGTATCATGAAAGTCGGTCGGTACAGGTTGCAAAGTATGGGCTCGCAAGAGACCAGCAGTTGATTTGTCGACGTTGCCTGATGTCAACAGTTCGTCTGGCCCCTTCCTACCCAAACGACCAATTTTTCATTTCCCTCCACAGAAAAAATCTTATTCATAGCATCGCCATATGGATATACACCGGCGCCATTGTGAACTAAAAACTGTGTCAGCTTCGTTGGGGGAAAGGAAAGGTCACCATCGACGTACCTACTCATCTCCCCAGGTTCCAGCTGCTTCGCCCGCACGCGCACTATAAGTAAGTTTACTGGATCTATGGGAACGCAGCAGAAGAGGCAGAGGCATCTTTTATGGACTTGTTGTGCTTTTGGTATTTGCGAAGAGAATGCATAAGGAAACCCGTCCGTAGTCGATACCCTACAAAATTTTCAAGATCGTTTACGAGATTCCAAGGATGTGGCCCAGAAGTGTAGCAAAGCGCGAATTCGCTCAGTGCTGTAACGACGAGCCGTGGATCAAGTTGTCGATGTGGTAACTTGAAGGGGAAGACGTGGACGTGTGAGAACAAAGCACGCAAAAGATGAAATTTTTGGTGTGGCTTACTTCCAGTCGTCCACAAGTCGTCCATCAATCCAGACAAGCTTTAGACCCGTGCCTACGGCACGGCACTCGCTAACGCTCGGCCGTTCCTCCAGCACTGGTCACAGCTTGCCGGGGGCATGCCCCCTGGACCCCCTGGTACACATGCTTAATCCTAGTTCTGGTACACATGTTCAATTCTGGCTCTTCTTACATCTCAATCAAAATAAAGTGACATTTATCAGTACTTTTACCATTTACATCAATCTAATAATACCTCTGGATAGACTACATTTTGTGTTACAGTTTGTTGTGAACCATCTTTGAAGAGAACTTTGATACGGTTGCTTGATGTGCAACGTGAAAGAGCCACATAAAGTTGTCCATGTGTAAATACTGGGGTCCGAACATCCAGTCCTAAATGTTTCACTGACTGTCCCTGAGATTTGTTGATTGTCATGCAAAAGGCCAGGTGAACAGGAAATTGCCTTCTGCATAACTGGAATGGAAGTTCACCACATCTGGAACAGCGTTTTGGCTGGGTAATTTCATTGTAATTATGTAGTCGTACATAAGTTCTTGAATTTATCTAGAGCTACCTAGGTGTAGTAGTCTTGGGTAGACCTGTAGCTACCTGTAGATTCATACTCGCCATAGAATATCAGGCTTGGCGGATGATCTGTACCTTGAATGATGCGAATGGGGTTATCCAGTGACAAAAACAGGCCGTGGGATACTGATGGCTGACCGCGCTTCTCCGCGCTTTTTACAATCGAAGCGTTCTCCAAGTCCTTTTACCTTCTTCTTCTCTCCTTCACAAACACTCAAAGGTCAGCCGTTGATAGGCCTTGCCCCCGATCACCATGCACATTCCCACTGGTAAGCTCCACTATGCATGCAACACCACCTGTATAATGCTAACGTGGACAGCCTATGGACAGCAAGCAGGTCCTTAGTCGTTTGCTCCCACATTCCCTCTGGTGAGCCAACCAACACCTTGTTGCATAAACCTTACTAACGGCACATTAGGTACAGTAGTTTCTATGGACCAACAAAACCACGGCAGTAAGCTTCACCATTTCTTCTGTTTGTTGAGTGTGTGCTAACGTGTTTACACTCAACAGCGTCGCTATCACGGTTTGGTTCAAGTTTCAGTAGGGCATCACAACTATTTGCGCGATGCTGGGGAATGTCAACGATCACACGGTGCCGGGGTGCCATCTTTTTGACTGCACATCAACGTCATCCTCTGCTCCTTCCAGTGTGCAGTGGCCGACACACTTTGGATGTTTATATGCTTGTAGTCTACATTTACATTGGCATGTACAGTAGCACTGCTGCAATATATTTTTCTGCATACATTTCGGATATTTTTCGGCATTTTTGGCCTGACACTGGAAAGCTCCTTGATCATGTGATAGATCAGATGTGAATCGCTGTTGAGATTTGGTTGATCGGTAGGCCGCATAGAGCCTGGTAGACTGGCTAGGAACTGTCTACCGGAACTACCGTAGAAAGGCGAAATTACAGTGCTTTACATAGGAGGAGGCTATCAACGGGCCTACCAATCACTATACGTCTACATAGGTCTATGTAGACAATGTTCTGTTTCCAGATGCATTTGAAGGCTCAAATCTTATGCGGGGAATGAATGCTGTGTGTCCTGCAAATTCTCCTCCCAGAATGCGTACTTCTAAAACTCGGGAAGAGGCACGGGTGAGGATTGCCCGGGTTCCATTGCATTGTCCATTTGCTGGATCAATATTTCAAAGGATCATTACTGGTGCACCTATCTTGAGTTTCAATTTTGCTAGAGGCATTCCACTAAGGTTGATGGAATTGAGGTATTCTACTGGGTATTCAAATTCACCATCCACACCTCATCTACCATAGCAGCAGGTGGAAATAGAGGTGGAGGGGCAGCAAGGGGGGCAGCATGAGCCTAAAAGATATATTAAATATTAGAAAAAGAGATATAACTCTGCAACCTACCTGATTTTGCAAATTACCCACTTGTGCAGCCATCCCAGGAGTAAGGTGAAGAATTTGACCATTATATAGAACCTCAACAAATGGATCATCACCTACAGGACCTTGAGGAATTTGAAGAGGAGCAACAGGGGGTGGAATAGGGAAAGGAAGAATAAAAGGTACACCACCACCAACAGCAGGATTTTGAGGTGTTCTCCTATGCTCAAGACTTTCCAACATCCTTTCTTGACGCTCTCTTGCCCTCTCAATATTTCTATGCCTTTGTGGAGTATTAGGAGGAGAATCCCTAGGGAATAAATGATAGTTAAGTAATAAAGGCAGGGAGCAAAAGAAATATCCTACATCAAGACCAAAAGGACAACTGAAGCATATATTCTGATTACCAAAAAAAAGAGAAAAAGATCCACATATTGAAGCAACTAACCAATCAGCAAAACCTTGTGAAATCCTATCATCAAAAGTGATCAGAAGCAATCCAAGTGGACAAAATGACTGGTGGCTACCACTTTTATGATTAATCTATGACAACTGTCCAAGAGCCATTGTGTATAATGCCACAGGTT